GCTAGGAGCATCTTTCAACGGAGGTACCCAGTCGGGGTGCCAGGTGATCCGTTACAAATAATACTTTCTAATTATTATTATTATTATTATGATATTTATAGAGCACCGTCAAATTCCGCAGCGCTTTACCATGGGTGGACGAACAGACATGTAGTTGTAACCAGACAAGTTGGACACACAGGAACAGAGGGGTTGAGGGCCCTGCTCAATGAGCTTACATGCTAGATGGAGTGGGGTAAAATGATACAAAAAGGTAAGGGTAGTATTAGACTAGTGACAGTTGCAGAAGAGGAATCAGTCAGGAGCTATTAACAGTTTAATTGATATGCTTTTATGAAGAAGTGGGTTTTTAAAGATTTTTTGAAGGAGTGGAGACTAGGTGAGCATCTAACGGAGGAGGGAAGCGAGTTCCACAGGAACGGTGCAGCCCTAGAGAAATCCTGAAGGCGTGCATCAGAGGTGGGAGTACGGGCAGACTATAGACATAAGTCTTTAGCAGATCGTAAGGGCCTAGACGGGACATACTTGTGTATAAGGGAGGATAGATAGGTGGGAGCAGCATTATGTAGAGATTTGAAAGCAAGAACCAGAATTTTAAATTGAGCTCTATATTTTATAGGAAGCCAATGTAGGGACTGACAGAAGGGTGAGGCATGGGAGGTGCGGGCGGACAGGAAGATGAGCCTCGCCGCCACATTCATTATGGACTGTAACGGCGCAAGTTGGGAGCACATAAGACCACTGAGAAGTGGATTACAGTAGTCAAGGCGAGAAAGGACAGTGGAATGGACCAACACCTTAGTCGCATCTGGCATTAAGTAGGGGCGGATGCACGCAATGTTTTTGAGATGGAAATGACAGGATTTGACGATAGATTGAACATGAGGCTTGAAGGAGAGGTCGGAGTCAAAGAGAACACCTAGGCAGCGAGCCTGCGTGGTGGAGCTGATGGTAGCACCGTTGACTTGGAGGGAGACAGACACAGGAGTAACAACACTTCGGGTAGGAAAGACCAGAATTTCAGTTTTGGTAAAGTTTAGTTTTAGGAAGTTGTGCAGCCATCCAGTTAGAAATAGCAGAGAGGCAGTCAGAGACACTAGTCAAGAGGGACGGGGAGAGATCAGGAGAGGACAGGTAGATTTGCGTGTCATCTGCATAGAAATGATATTGGAAGCCAAAGGAGCTAATGAGTTTACCAAGTGAGGCAGTATAGATGGAAAACAGTAGGGGACCAAGGACTGAACCTTGGGGGACACCAACAGAGAGGAGTTGGGGAGAAGAAGCAGAGCCAGAGAAAGAAACACTGAAAGAGCGCTGGGAGAGGTAGGAGGAGCACCAGGAGAGAGCAATATCTTGTAGACTGATATTGTGGAGGATGAGAAGAAGCTGTTGATGACCAACAGTGTCAAAAGCCGCAGACAGGTCAAGGAGAATTAGGATATAGTAGTGACCACGAGATTTTGCAGCGAGTAGATCATTGGATACTTTGGTCAGTGCCGTTTCCACAGAGTGCTTAGAGCGGAAACCAGACTGAAGCGGGTCTATTATAACAACAATGTGCCTTTAAACTGTGTCTAAAATGTGTTTAGACATAAGTCTATGTAAATAAGCAATTGTTCTTGCAATTGTTGTAATTGTTCTTGTTCAAAAAAATTACGTTTTTGTGTCAAGCATTTTTATTGGTGATTCACCTACCATTTCTCAGTACAGTCCTGTCCATGTCCCTCATCACAACCTCATCCCTACCCGTAAAATTAAAGTGTCCCTCTTTGTCTATTTGAAATGTTGGAGGTATGAAATGGCAGCGGCTACATCAGTGCAGATTCACATCAGATCAGAGGTGGCTACAGTTTGTCACTCTAAGTAGCTGAGAGGTTCCCCTCCAGCTGTATGTTAATAATCACAGGCATTGTCTACACACTCGCATATACACATAAAGGATCAGACACAAATAAAATGGACCTGGGAAGGGGAGGGGCGAACGAGCCACCCCACAGGAGGTACCAACAAAAACTCTTCCCAATGGGTGGCACTGACTGACTCTTATCTCACCTCTGGGTGACTATATATTTGTATATTGTGTAAGAATGAGAGTATGTGTGCATAAGAGAGAGTATGTTTCTGCATGTGGGTAAGGATGAGAATATTTGGCTGTACGTTTGTATAAGGAAGTGTGTGTGTCTGTTTGTGTGCTGAATAAAAAATTGTCAGCTTCATAAGAATACTTTAAATCTGTAACAACTAAATCTGTTTTTATTGCCACACAAATCAATTCAGATAAAAAATATTGTATTAAATAACGTTACAGTATGTCACAAATCTGAATTTATTTCTGAAAATACAGTGGGAAATTGATGATGGTTGGTATGTATTAGCCCTATTAGCACGTCCATCCTCTTCCTCCACCTTTTCCCAGGGTGCTAATCCATCCTCTTAACCACCATCCACTTATCATTTTAATTGAAGCACAGAGTAAAAAAATATTTCCTTAAACTCAAATTTAACACAATTCAATAAAATTGCACAGCACTCATTCCTGCAAATTGGATGGATTCTGCACAGAAGATCTCAGCAACATGCTTATATGTGCCCATCATCTCACAGGCTGGTACCCTGGACAGGCAGCTGACAGCATCCCCCTGCTGCCATGGTGACCTGTGATGTTGCAGTCCTGGCAAACCCTGAAGGCTACCTATGTTTTTTGCATTCCAATTCAAGGACCTACCTCCAGTATATTCCTGTACTGCATTTAAACAGGCGACTATAGCACTGATAGTTGGTCTCAAATTCTCAGTTTAGACTGAAGTACCTGTCACAGGACTAAAGGTAAACACAAGTAATATGTAAAAAACAAATATAGTGTGAGCGCTCCTAAAGGGGAATAAATGAGTAAAACAATCTTATTAATGATAACGATAACATTTAATAGTACCACCAGATAAAAGACACATCAACTCAAAGCGGTAAAAATCGTCAGTCATACAGTCAGGTCCATAAATATTGGGACATCGACACAATTCTAATCTTTTTGGCTCTATACATACACCACGATGGAAATGAAATGAATAAGATGTGCTTAAACTGCAGACTTTCAGCTTTAATTTGAGGGTATTTACATCCAAATCAGGTGAACGGTTTAGGAATTACAACAGTTTGTATATGTGCCTCCCACTTTTCAAGGGACCAAAAGTAATGGGAGAATTGGCTGCTCAGCTGGTCCATGGCCAGGTGTGTGTTATTCCCTCATTATCCCATTTACAAGGAGCAGATAAAAGGTCCAGAGTTCATTTCAAGTGTGCTATTTGCATTTGGAATCTGTTGCTGTCAACTCTCAATATGAGATCCAAAAAGCTGTCACTATCAGTGAAGCAAGCCATCATTAGGCTGAAAAAACAAAACAAACCCATCAGAGAGATATCAAAAACATTAGGTGTGGCCAAATCAACTGTTTGGAACATCCTTAAAAAGAAAGAGCACACCGGTGAGCTCAGCAACACCAAAAGACCCGGAAGACCACGGAAAACAACTGTGGTGGATGACCGAAGAATTCTTTCCCTGGTGAAGAAAACACCCTTCACAACAGTTGGCCAATCAAGAACACTCCCAGGAGGTAGGTGTATGTGTGTCAAAGTCAACAATCAAGAGAAGACTTCACCAGAGTGAATACAGAGGGTTCACCACAAGATGTAAACCATTGGTGAGCCTCAAAAACAGGAAGGCCAGATTAGAGTTTGCCAAACAACATCTAAAAAAGCCTTCACAGTTCTGGAACAACATCCTATGGACAGATGAGACCAAGATCAACTTGTACCAGAGTGATGGGAAGAGAAGAGTATGGAGAGGGAAAGGAACTGCTCATGATCCAAAGCATACCACCTCATCAGTGAAGCATGGCGGTGGTAGTGTCATGGCGTGGGCATGTATGGCTGCCAATGGAACTGGTTATTTTGTATTTGTTGATAGTGTGACTGCTGACAAAAGCAGCAGGATGAATTCTGAAGTGCTTCGGGCAATATTATTGTGTCGATGTCCCAATATTTATGGACCTGACTGTACATAGATAGAAGGTGCACAGATGTTGCAATGCTGTAAGGACAACTACAACATTAAATCCTGTGTAACGAGATGTATCAAATGTAGGTGTAATATAAATCAGATAATACACCATAAAAACAAAAAATGCACTGTAATATATATATATATATATATATATTAAAAAAGAGAGAATGTTCACTAAACAGTGAACAGGAAATAAATAAAACTATGATAAAACTGCTTGAAAAACCGGTAGAAAAATCAATAAGGTATAAAAACAATGACATCCTAAAACTAGCATATATCAGACAAAGTCAGCGGTGGATCACATAGATGCTGGGACGTGTCTTCTGCGGGACAAACAAGGCATCTGCCTTGGGCGGCACTTTGCAGGGGGCGGCAAAAAAAGCCGCCCCCAAACACCCAGGCAGATCCCTTGCTTGCCTCGTGTCCTGGGGGGGCTCAAGAGCTGGCCAGCTGGCCACTTTTGAGCCCCTCCGTGGCTAGTGGCTGGCAGCGAGGGAGAATATTTACCTGAGCCCTTCCTGCTGGGTGGATTTAAAATAAAATAAAATAAAAAAATAATAATTTGTAAGTGTTGGGAGAAATGTGTATGTGTGTGTGTGTCTGTAAGTGTGTATGTGTGTGTGTCTGTAAGTGAATGTGTGTGTGTCTGTAAGTGTGTATGTGTGTGTCTGTAAGTGAATGTGTGTGTCGGTCAGTGAGTGTGCGTCTGTCAGTTGAGAGTGTGCATCTGTCAGTGAGTGTGTGCATCTGTCAGTATGTGTCCAAGTAATAGTGTGTGTGTGTATGTCATTGTTTGTCAGTGTATATGAGAGTGTTTGTCTGTCAATGAGTGTGTGCGTCTGTCAGTGAGTGTGCGTCTGTCAGTCAAAGTGCGGCCTTGACAGGAAGGGGTGGGGAAAATTTAAATTGGGGGTGAGGGGGTGCACAAATCCTAAATACAAATCCTAAATACACCACTGCATAGATGCATAGCAAAAGCGTTTTTCCCTCAAATAGGCTATTTCCCCGGGTACAGCAGTCTTTAATGTGGTGTAAAGCTTTAACGATCTTCCTTCATTGACCACCAGTAAGATGGAGCCGCTGTAGTCCTTTTGGGGTTCGGAAATTGCTCAACGCATTTCGTCTAGATATGCAGACTTCGTCAGGAGCTTGTTCTTTCTTCTGGGACCGGCAATTTAAATATGCTGGGCCGCGTCCCATCATCATGTGTGTGCATGTGCGGCGATGATACCTACACTCTCACTGGTGCTTAAATGGGGACCTCACGTAGGCCCTTTCTTCCCCTTTTTTATGTCTCCCCTTCTCAGAAGGCGGGAACAATTTTGTTTTATAACATGATGTGACCGATACTATGCTTTGCACTGTTTTAAGTTATTACTGTTTAGCCAAATATGCTTAATTATGCTTTGAACGAGTATACAGGTAGTGATGGACTGCACGGCCCAAATTAACACAGGAAACCTGTGCCATTAATGGCTACTATAGTTTATATAATGCTTCAATATTAAACTGATGTGCGGCGATGATACCTACATCTGCAACGTCCATTGCTCATGTGCATTCCATTCTGGAATGCAAATAAACTTTATTCATGTGGGCACACAGGACAAAACACGGATTCAACATAGAAAAGCAGGTCTATAGGCACATGCCCAAATAAATGCAATCCACAAATCTACTAAGTGTATTAAAATATTCTAAATGTTACAAAATAGTGTAAAGAAAAATATGTATGACTGATGATTTTTACTGCTTTGAGTTGATGTGTCTTTTATCTGGTGGTACTATTAAATGTTATCTTTTTCATATAAGATTGTTTTACTCCTTAATTTATTCCCCTTTAGGAGCGCTCACACTATATTTGTTTTTCACTTCACAAACATGTCCATCTAACTGAGACTTTTTGGAACTGTGACAACGACATTGCCCATTCGATAGGAAGGGGCAGAGTTATGCAAGGTACAAGTAAATGCTTGGCTGTCATTGGAGTGCGGTAAGAGAGGCTGCTAGCCTATTTCTGCCATCAAGTTGTGGCATGGTCAAAATAAAAAATAAAGGAGACACATGGAGCATCTTTGGGTATGACAATTATTTCCTGCATTTTGTTATTTTATCACGCGAATGGCAATGCCTCTGGAACTTATATCTTGTTTAAGGGATTTAAACAAGGGATGTGGTTTTCCAGAAAGAAGAGTACAGGTGCGTTTCATCATGGTGCCGCTGTTGTGTGCCTTTAAATGTACCATATTAAAAATATGTTTATTTCCACCCATTATAAATTTGATAGATGTTTGAGGGCATTTCTTAAAGGAACAAGCACAAAAAAAGCTTGATATAGTAGTTTTGATGCCAACAGTGCCCTGCCCCCTTCCCTTGTAAGTAGCCAAATCATTTTACAATAGTTTTACCTCTTATCTGGGGTCCAGCAGGCGACACTACTCGCCTTCACTACTTCCAATTGAGAGCTAGATGTTACCTATCTTCTGGTTGCTATAGTAACCAAATAAAAGCACAACTACATTCAAGCACGCGGACCTTACACACAAATACACCCATGCATTCAAACACAAACACTACACACAAATACACTCCTGCATTCAAAAGTCAACACTTCACACAAATACAACCCTGAATTAAAATGCCAACACTACACACAAATACACTCCTGTATTCACAGACAAATACACCTATATTCAAACAATACGGTGTGTCACAGAAAATAATGACATACATATTCAAAAATTGATGATTAGGGTGCAAAACAAGCAACAAATGAAAACAAACCCGACATATTTACTGGTGGAAAAAAAATATTCGCTGAAAATAGATGTAAAAGTTTAGAAGGCATTTTGATAAATTATTCCCAAATTATCCCTGGATTTACATTTTTTTTTTTTAAATGTTGACACCTATGATACTCACATACTTGCACTTAAAGGACCACTATTGTGCCAGGAAAACATACTCGTTTTCCTGGTACTATAGTGCCCTGAGGGTGCCCCCACCCTCAGGGACCCCCTCCCGCCCGGCTCTGGAAGGGGGAAAGGGGTTAAAATTACCTTTTTCCAGCGCTGGGCGGAGAGCTCTCCTCCTTCTCTCCGCCCCGTCGGCTGAATGCGCACGTGCGGCAAGAGCTGCGCGCGCATTCAGCCGGTCGCATAGGAAAGCATTCATATTGCTTTCCTATGGACGCTGGCGTGCTCTCACTGTGAAAATCACAGTGAGAAGCACGCAAGCGCCTCTAGTGGCTGTCAATGAGACAGCCACTAGAGGATTAGGGGGAAGGCTTAACCCATTCATAAACATAGCAGTTTCTCTGAAACTGCTATGTTTATAAAAAAATGGGTTAACCCTAGAAGGACCTGGCACCCAGGCCACTTCATTAAGCTGAAGTGGTCTGGGTGCCTAGAGTGGTCCTTTAAATAATGGTGGAGAGACAACTGAAAATGCTGGTTACTATACAATTAACAGATTAATAATGTAAAGCAATAAGGACAAATAGAAAACAACAACAAAAAACTGTGAATAAGAAGGAAGGGGGAGACAGGAAAAGGGAGGAAGTAGAGATGAGAAAGAGATTGGGAAAATACATTATTATTATTATTGGTATTTATGAAGTGCCAAAAAATTGTGCAGCACTGTACAATCAGGAAAGATTGACATTACAATAAAGACAAACCAATACAAAAGGAATAGAAGACACAAGAAGAACAAGAAAGAGGTCAAGCGCTTCCATTAAGAGTATGGTATGTAAGGGTGGTGCCCTAAAGGAAAAGAAAAATATAACATAGTACAATATTATACACAAAGCCTCTCTGTGCGCAAGTTCCTATTGGCCACTCACTATTTTCCAGTTAAAATGTAGCCTTCGGGGGGCGGGGGCGGGCTGCCGGGCTGACTGGACGCCATCTGCCTGGGCTCCAGATCTAGGCTCGTGGAAAAGGCTCAAAAAGCCGATACAGACTGCTGTAAAACCGGAATCTCCGCAGCCACTGAGCGGAGAATGGCCCCAGCTACAACCCAATACCCGCAGGAAGCATATCACTCAACGGATAAGCAGAAACGTCAGTTCCAGGCCTACACGCTGCTGCGAGCCTGGACCCACGCGACCACGAAGTATGACACGATGTCACAGAGACATGCACCATTGAGCCGACAGGAGCCGCGTGGACGCAACCCCCAGGCGTGGGGAAATATCCCGGCTCGGGGCATGGCCCCGCTCCCCCCCCTTGGTCGGCGGGGGTTATCCCGGCAACGTGGCGGCGGCTCACACTGCGGCGGGAGATCCCATGTTGGTCCCATGCCGTCCGCCTGTACTAGCAACGGCTGCATGAAACAGGTGGCCAGCAGTTGTGAACATGGAACACAGAGACAGTCTAAGTCCCTAATACAACCCCGGCACTTACCACGAGCCTGACCACTAAGCTCACGCTGGCACCTGCAGAAGAGATGGAGGAGGTGGAGGATTCACGCGGACGAGATAACTCACCCTAACCCCCACTCTCTGAACGCCTCACTACACTTTTGAACAATCGGTGATGGAGCACCAGCAAAAGCTATTCACCATGAAGGGCTGAATTGGACATAGAAACATAGAAACATAGAAACATAGAAACATAGAACGTGACGGCAGATAAGAACCATTCGGCCCATCTAGCTGCCCAATTTTCTAAATACTTTAATTACTCCCTAGTCTTATCTTATAGTTAGGATAGCCTTATGCCTATCCCACGCATGCTTAAACTCCTTTACTGTGTTAACCTCTACCACTTCAGCTGGAAGGCTATTCCATGCATCCACTACCCTCTCAGTAAAGTAATACTTCCTGATATTATTTTTAAACCTTTGTCCCTCTAATTTAAGACTATGTCCTCTTGTTGTGGTAGTTTTCCTTCTTTTAAATATAGTCTCCTCCTTTACTGTGTTGATTCCCTTTATATATTTAAATGTTTCTATCATATCCCCCCTGTCTCGTCTTTCCTCCAAGCTATACATGTTAAGATCCTTTAACCTTTCCTGGTAAGTTTTATCCCGCAATCCATGAACCAGTTTAGTAGCCCTTCTCTGAACCCTCTCTAAGGTATCAATATCCTTCTGAAGATACGGTCTCCAGTACTGTGTACAATACTCCAAGTGAGGTCTCACCAGTGTTCTGTACAATGGCATGAGCACTTCCCTCTTTCTACTGCTAATACCTCTCCCTATACAACCAAGCATTCTGCTAGCATTTCCTGCTGCTCTATTACAATGTCTGCCTACCTTTAAGTCATCAGAAATAATCACCCCTAAATCCCTTTCCTCATATGTTGAGGTTAGGACTCTATCAAATATTCTGTACTCTGCCCTTGGGTTTTTACGTCCAAGATGCATTATCTTGCACTTATCGACATTAAATGTCAGTTGCCACAATTCTGACCATTTTTCTAGTTTACCTAAATAATTTGCCATTTGGCTTATCCCTCCTGGAACATCAACCCTGTTACATATCTTAGTATCATCAGCAAAAAGACATACCTTGCCATCAAGACCTTCTGCAATATCACTAATAAAAATATTAAAGAGAATGGGTCCAAGTACAGATCCCTGAGGTACCTCACTGGTGACAAGTCCAAGTTTCGAATATATTCCATTAACTACAACCCTCTGTTGCCTGCCACTCAGCCACTGCCTTACCTATTCAACAATATTTGAATCCAAACTTAAAGATTGCAGTTTATTGATAAGCCTTCTATGTGCAACAGTGTCAAAAGCCTTACTGAAATCTAGGTAAGCACCACCCTGATCTATAATTTTAGTTACCCAATCAAAAATCAATAAGATTAGTTTGGCATGATCTCCCTGAAGTAAACCCATGTTGTCTCTGATCTTGAAATCCATGTGTTTTAGATGTTCAACAATCCTATCCTTTACCATGGTTTCCATCACTTTCCCCACTACTGAAGTAAGGCTTACTGGCCTATAGTTGCCCGACTCCTCCCTATTACCTTTCTTGTAAATGGGCACAACATTCGCTAACTCCCAATCTTCTGGGACTACTCCTGTTAACAATGATTGGTTAAATAAATCTGTTAATGGTTTTGCTAGTACACCACTAAGCTCTTTTAATAGCTTTGGGTGTATTCCATCAGGTCCCATTGACTTATTTGTCTTTACTTTTGACAGTTGAAATAGAACCTCTTCCTCTGTAAATTCACGTGTAATAAATGACTAATTTATCCTTTTTCTCAACTGAGGTCCCTTTCCTTCATTTTCATCTGTAAATACAGAACAAAAATATTCATTGAGGCAGTCAGCTAGACCTTTATCCTCTTCTACATACCTTCCTTCTTTTGTTTTTAATCTAACTAATCCTTGTTTTACTTTTCTTTTCTCATTTATGTATCTAAAAAATGTTTTATCCCCCCATGGACGGCTCATGCAGACCCAGGCACTGCTGAGCGCCGGACGGATCCTCCACACTGTTTGCCCACCAGCCGAAGAAGTGAGTGCCCTGGCCTTTGGGTCTGCGGGGTTCCCTGAGGGCCTTGTCCCTGGTGTCATGAGCCCTGTGGGGCAGGCTTGCGCGGTCCCTTCGGCGGACCGGTGGCCGTGAGGGATGTGCACTAGCCCCAAGTATGTGGCCGGCACCGGGAGAGACATGTGGGCGCACACTTCGCAGGGACTTAAGAGAGGCCAGGGAGGTGCAGTGGGCGAACAGCCCGCGGACTCTAGGTGGGGGCGTCCAGTGGAAAATTCTGTTCCTGAGTGCCCACGGCGCCATAAGAGGCCCAACAGGTGGGCTAGGTACGGCCTGGAGAGGACAGATGGGGGCGCGGCAACCCGAGGGAGGTAATGCAGCTGAACCATGGGTGGCCCTTCTTGGACAGCTATTAAGAATTGCTTGCTTACATCTGATTGTCATGGACTGCCGGGTCTGACTGGGGTGGATGGGGGGGGGGAGGAACCTGTTCAATACCTGTATTACCATTCTCTTACTTTCTTCCTTTTATTATTTTACCTCAGGGTGTCTTATTATGCCCGGCTGCGCGTGCAGGGCACAAGGCCCCTTTCTGAGCGCTGGGATACACTCTCACTGGTGCTTAAATGGGGATCTCACGTAGGCCCTTTCTTTCCCTTTTTTATGTCTCCCCTTCTCAGAAGGCAGGAACAATTTTGTTTTATAACATGATGTGACCGATACTATGCTTTGCACTGTTTTAAGTTATTACTGTTTAGCCAAATATGCTTAATTATGCTTTGAACGAGTATACAGGTAGTGATGGACTGCACGGCCCAAATAAACACAGGAAACCTGTGCCATTAATGGCTACTATAGTTTATATAATGCTTCAATATTAAACTGATGTTTATACTGAATTAGGTTAAATGTTTGGATGTTGTCCTAGACTAGGTAGGCTAGATATGCTAGTTAGGCACCTTATGCAGAAATAGGCTCTCTGTTTCTATGCCTAAATGTACTGTCTTATCATTATAAACCATTATCGCCTAGCAAACGCACCATAATTAGACTTTGACCTAAAGTGACAGAGTGCGACGGAACTTATAACTTCATCACAACCAGAACCACCTGACATAAATGGCTATCAAATCAGTGTAATGCCTTTACACTGTTGTGATATTCAGACTTAAATTAATATAACGTTTTGAGACTGGCATACATGGAGACATACTTATACTAAACCGTGTGCTGTAGGCTTATGTTATTTTCTGTTATGTAGTTAAATAATATGCTATACCATGAAACTGTAAAGCTACATATTATCCTTGATGCACATATTTGCCTTCACTAATGTATGTAAAAATTACGCAAATAAACCTTGAATGAAAAAAAAAAAATGTAGCATTCATATAATCTTTATACGGATGTTCCTCTTCCGGGTTCTCTCTTCACTTTCACTTCAATAATATGTACCATGGGACAAACAGGAATAAAGTGCAAGATGTAAAATAAAGACCAAGACAAGTGCAAAAATAAGTCTTTATTACTTACACATAGGTAAGAAACAGCAGATAAAACAGTCCTATGTGTTTTGTCACCTACAGGGACTTCACCAAGGACAAATGCTGCTGAATACACAGTCAAAAACAGAATAAAACACTCCTTCCCTAACCTAGTCTATATAAACACCTCCTGATTGCTCCAGCGTCAACTCTATAGGTTCCATAAGTATTCTTCAGGTGCCACTGATCTTTTCTCATTAATTTCTGGGTTTGCGTCAACACGTTGTGTACATGATGATGTCATACATGTCACGTGTGTGTTCCATCGTAGATCGGTATGGTGGAGTTTCCCGCTTGCTCCTACTATACTCTTGACGTCATCGCGTGATCCACACGATGACATGTGCGTTCCAGCTCGTTATTTGCGTTCCATTACAGAGGGGGAACTATTAGTCCAAGTCACATCAAGTTCATCAAGTTCCAGGCACACAGAAGGAGAAAAAAATGCTGATCTACAGCTCCTGAAAACGGTAAGTGTGTTTTTATACTCTTTTCACCAACTGTCAGAACATACGACACTATATGGTTTTCTCTTAGTTCTTTTCTCTCTTACATATCCACTGACCATCTCCTGGATTCAAAACTATCTACAAGGCGCTGTTCCCGAACTGTTATGCCGTTCAACCTATGTAATGCACCTGTGGTTTTCCAGGATTTTGTGATTGTGTACTTTAACATTATTCTAAACTATTCCTCGGATCTCAGTACACGCCACTCTCATGTATCTAGGGTATTACAAACACTTCTCAAAAATGGTCTATAGTGCAAGCTTGAAATATGCCTACATGACCAAACTGAGCTAAATTTCTTGGACTATGCAATATCTGCTTTTGAATTCAAAATGAATCCTAAGAAGTTGACAGCTGTAATGAAATTGCCATTACCTCAAGGTTTAAAACCAAAAGAATGGTTCATAGGGTTTGCCAACTATTACAGAAGATTCATGACGGATTTTTCTTCTGCAATAGCTGCTATTACAAACTTCACTAAGAAGGGTTTGTACCACTATACCTGGACCCCTGAAGTTGTAGAAGCATATGGAAAGCTAATAAAGAAAATTTACATTGGCCGAGCGTAATCATGACATAGAGAATAGAGAGTAACTTTCCATACTTGTAGCCTTGAAAGAATGGAGGCATCTCCTAGAAGGATCTAAAGATCCATCATAATTTTGACTGACCATAAGAACCTGTAATTCCTAGAAAAGACAAAAGGATTAAATTCCAGGCAGGCTAGATGGTATCTTTTGCTGTCTAAGTTTAATTTCCTAATCACGTATAGACCTAGACCACGCAATGCCGAAGCTGATGCTTTGTCTAGGCAATTTGACCTGAGTGAGAAAGACAAGGTAGAGGAGAGTTATATCATACCCCCATAAAGAATACTAGCTATGACTGTTCTTTCTGTGTCCTCTTCTTTATTGAATCACATTAAATTTAACCAATACAAGTCCCCTGAGAATAAACTAAAGGATGCGTTGTATGTCACACCAGATGTCAGAAAAGAGGTAATTTATTTATGTCATGAAACCAAAACTGCAGGAGATCCTGGTATTACTAAAACAACTGCCAGTGTGTCCTGTGACTTCTGGTGGCCATCTATAAGAAGGGGCATTAGGGAATTTGTCCAAGCATGTGATGGGTTTGCAGTCAACTGTGCCATGTGGTCTGCTCCAACCTTTGTCTATACCTACTAGACCTTGGTCTAGTTTATGCATTCATTTTATTGTTGATCTTCCTCCTTCCAATGGATGCATAGTTATTCTCATGGTTGTAAACAGGTTTTCTAAGATGGCTCACTTTATACACCTTAAAAAACGCTCTTCCTCAGCAGAATTAGCTAAGATTTTCTCCAGGGATGTGTTTCATCTACATGGTATACCACAACAGATTATATCTGACAGAAGTAGTCAGTTTGTTTCTCGCTTCAGGAGGTCCTTTTGCTCAGATATTGGTATTGAACTGTCCTTTTCTTGCTAACCAATCTCTTGAGCAGTTTCTCTGTTGCTTAATTTCTCATCACCATGATAATTGTGTTTACCTGCTCCCTTGGGCTGATTTTGATAGCAATAATGCTACCCATGAACTCTCAGGTCAAAGCCCTTTCTACTTTGTCTATGGCCAGCATCCTATTGTTCTCCCAACTGCATTCTCCTCACAGGGAATGATTGCTCTGGATGAACATATGGCTGATTTGCATAGTACTTGGGAGCAGGTTCAGCATCTCTTGCTTCTGTCTTCTCAGCAACAGAAGAAGCATGCTGACAAACGTTGTTGTGCAGCTCCTTTCTATGTGGTAGGAGATAGTCTGGCTTTCTACATGCCATATCCATCTCCGTGTACCTTCCATTAAAGGACCACTATAGTGCCAGGAAAACATACTCATTTTCCTGGCACTATAGTGCCCTGAGGGTGCCCCCGCCCTCAGGGAGCCCCTCCCGCCGGGCTGGATGGAGAAGAAAGGTTAAACTTACCTCTTTCTCCAGCGCCGGGCTCTCCTCCTCCTCTCCACCTCCACTCCTCCTCTTCGGCTGAATGAGCATGCACAGCAGGAGCTGTGCGCGCATTCAGCCAGTCCATAGGAAAGCATTCACAATTCTTTCCTATGGATGCTGGCGTCTTCTCACTGTGATTTTCACAGTGAGAAGCGCGGAAGCCCTCTAGCGGCTGTCAGTGAGACAGCCACTAGAGGCTGGATTAACCCATTTATAAACATAGCAGTTTCTCTGAAACTGCTATGTTTATAAAAAAAAGGGATAACCCTAGATGGACCTGGCACCCAGACCACCTCATTAAGCTGATGTGGTCTAGGTGCCTATAGTGGTCCTTTAAATTTGCTCCTTGTTTTATTGGCCATTTCAAAATCCTACGTAAAGTGAACCCTGTTTTGTATGCCTTGGATTTACTTCATTCTATGTATATACTGTTGTGCTCAAAAGTTTGCATAAACTGGCAGAAATTGTGAAATTTTGGCATTGCTTTGAAAATATGACTAATCATGCAAAAAAATAGAGAAAATTTATGACAAACTTACCGTAATTTTCTTTTCCTGGCTATTTCTCATGGCAGCATCACTTATGGGTAGCTCCTCCCTTAGTAGTCACAGGACAGGAATTAATTAGATTAATTAATCAGACTGATAGGTATAAGGAGTCCCTCCTCCCCCTACACCTCAGTCCAATTATAAAGCTGAAATAAAGAATGGGCGGGAACCCTGATGCTGCCATGAGAAATAGCCAGGAAAAGAAAATTACGGTAAGTTTGTCATAAATTTTCTCTATTCCTGGCTAATCATGGCAGCATCACTTATGGGTAATACCCAAGCTTCACAAATCTAGGGTGGGAAATAACGTAAAAAATTACACCAAGCCGAACACATGCAGCAAAGAAAGTTTAATATCAACTGGATAAAGAGACCGTAGAGAGGACACTCTTCCCAAAGGAGGTGGAACGAGACTCCACATCAAGTTTGTAGTGCTTCATAAACGTCATTGGAGAAGACCAAGTGGCTGCTCTGCAAATATCATCGTATGGAACCTCTGCCCAGCTAGCCCAAGAAGTTGATAATGCTCTAGTAGAATGTGTTTTTATCACCTCTGGAGGTGATAGACCTTTAGAGACATACGCCTTCTTAATTATCAGAGAAATCCAACGTTTTAACGTAGATAAAGAGGCCGCCTCACCTCTCCTAGCTCCCAACGGCAAAACGAAGAGTTGGTCCGTCTTACGGAAAGACTCAGAACGTCTAAGATACGCAGACAAGCAGCTCATGACATCCAAACGTTGCCATCTAACCTCTTCCTGAGAAGAGGGGTTGGGGTAAAATGATGGAAGAACCACTTCTTGAGAGAGGTGAAACTGAGAAACCACCTTGGGAAGAAACTCTGGCTTAGGTTTCAGACATACCTTATCTTGGTAGAATTGTAAACAAGAAGAAGATGTAGAAAACGCCTTAATCTCTGAAATCCGTCTTGCGGAAGTAATCGCCACCAGAAACAAAGTCTTATACGTTAGGAGTGTAGTATCCAAACCTTCAAGAGGAAAAAACAGATCCTCCGTGAGATAATTAAGTACCATAGGAAGGTCCCAAGGAGGGGTAGTAGACCTGGAAGGAGGCCTCAACCTGAAGGCCGCTTTGAAGAACCTGGAAATCAAAGGATCCGAAGCCCAAGAGATGTTGCACAAAGCTGAGAGTGCCGCAGACTGAACCTTTAAGGTGCTGAGACTAAGGCCCTTGTCCAGGCCCACTTGCAGAAACTCCAAAACTTCCGTATTGCTAGGATGTAGAAAGTCCACACCATTGGACGATGCCCAAGACTGGAACACATCCCAGACCCTATGTAGCATGAGGAAGTGGAAGCCTTTCTAGAGAGCAGAAGGGTATTGATCGCAGCCTCCGAGAGGCCTAGTACTTGGAGTCTTTCCTTCTCAAGATCCATACCCCCAGTTTGAGGCGTTCTGGATGAGGATGGAATACCGGACCCTGTGTAAGCAGATCCTCCATCACTGGCAGAGGCCAAGGCTGTTCCTGGCTCATCGTGGTCAATAGGGGGAACCACGGTCTTCGAGGCCAAATTGGGATTACGGCAATGACTTTCCTGCCTTCCGACCAAACCTTCCTCAGGAACCTGGGTATCATAGGTAGGGGAGGGAAAGCATACCCCAGATCGAACGACCAAGGGAGAGAGAGAGCGTCTTGGCCCAGAGCCTGACGGTCCGGGTGGAGAGAGAAGTAATTCTCCACCTGGTGATTCTGAGATGATGCCATCAGGTCGATCTGGGGCATGCCCCACCGATGAACAATTTCTGCAAAGATCGCCGGGTGAAGATGCCATTCTCCCGGAAGAATTTCCCTTCTGCTGAGGAAGTCTGCTGTTACGTTCTCCGAGCCTGGGAGATAAAAGGCCTTTAGACCTTGAAGAGACGTCATTGCTATAACCATTAAGGGAGCGAGTTCTTCCAGCAGCAATCTGCTCCTCGTGCCACCTTGGTTGTTCACATACGAGGCCACCGCTCGGTTGTCCGTTTTGATTAGGACCCAAGAGTTCTTTAGCCTCGGTAGGAACCTCAAAACGGCCTTGTAAACCGCTCTCAGTTCTCTCAAATTTGAGTGTAGGTGACTCTCTTCTAGGGTCCACTTCCCTTGAGTCCATACCGAGCTGAAGTGGGCACCCCATCCAAAAGAACTGGCATCTGTCGTAATAACCTTCCAAGGGGGGTCTTCCAACGGGAAGCCAGTCGTCAAATTCTTCTCGCTCCTCCACCAGTTTAAGGTTTTTCTTACCGGAAGGGGAAGATATATCACCTGTTCCCAATTTGCTTCCACTCTGTTGAACTGGAGAAGGAAGCAGTACTGAACTGGACGGAACTTCCACTGGGCCCACTTCACCAAGCCTATTGTAGACGTCAAGGAACCTAGGAGGCTCATGACTACTCTTGCAGGTGCAGCTTCGAGATCTTGTAGTCCCCTCACTTTGTCTCTGATCTTCTCGACCCTTTCCGGAGACAGGAACACATGTGCAGACACGGTATTCACTACCGCCCCCAGGAAAATAATCGTTTGCGCAGGAACAAGGGAGCTCTTTCCCAAGTTCAGGAGCCAACCATGTTCTTGAAGAATGGACATTGCGACTAACGTATGTTGAGCCACGATTTCTTGAGATGGACCCAGGATAAGAATGTCGTCCAAGTAATGGAATATCTCGATACCCTTTACCCTTATAAAGGCTATTAAGGCAACCAGAACTTTTGAGAACGTTTTTGGAGCCAGACTGAGGCCAAACGGTAGACCCCGGAACTGGAAGTGCCTTCCTAGCGCCCAAAATCTGAGAAAACGTACATGATCTTGATGTATCGGAATATGATAGTAGGCGTCCCTTAAATCTATTGAGGTCATCCAGTCTCCTTTTTTGACACACTTCAAGATGGTCCTCAAGGATTCCATTTTGAACGTCCTTACATTGAGCAAGGAGTTCACGCCTTTCAAATTCAAGATGAGACGCCATTTTCCTTGAGGTTTTGGGGCCAAGAAGACCGTGGAATAAATTCCTTGAAACCATTCTCGTTTGGGAACTTCTTCCACCACTCTTTGTTCCAGGAGCACAGAAATGCAGGATCTCATGGCCCTTCGTTTGATGCCTACCGGTACCTTTGATTTTTTGAAGAATGCAGTTTTTGGTTGAGACGAGAATTCTATTCTGTAACCTTCTTTCACGATGGAAGTGACCCATAGGTCTGAAATATTGCTGGCCCATCTGGGGTAAAAGAACTTCAGTCTTCCTCCCACCATCCCCGAACGGGCCTGGGGACCTTCAGAAGTTCTTTCCTGAGGTTCTAGGACCCCTTCCTCTGGAAGCCTTATTGGAAGATGAGTGTGGATAGGATTTCCATGTGGAATTCCTGGAAAACTCCCTACCTGGCTTATAGCTTCTGCTGTCCCGAAAGGACCGATCCTTAAAGCGCTTGGTCTTCCAGGAGGAGGGAAAAGTCTTCCTGCCAGATTGAGGTAAGAACGCCTTCTTCCCATCAGCAGCTTTTTGAATAGCCTCTTCCAGAATCTTTCCAAAAAGGAGATCCCCTTGAAACGGAAGAGCACAGAGGGAAGCCTTAGAGGCATAGTCAGCACCCCATGAATGAAGCCACAAAGCCCTTCTAGAAGCCACAGACAGGGCCATGCTTTTAGCAATCATGCGAGTGATATCCAGGGAGGCTTCCGAACAGAATTCCGTGGCTAGGTGAAGGTCCTTGAGGCTTTCCAACAGATGTTCCCTTCGGACACCTTGCTCAATGTCATCCTTCAGATTAGTGAGCCACACTTTCAAGGCTCTGGAAAGAGTCGTCAGTGCCACTGCCGGATGAAGAGCGGACCCAAGGGCCAAGTAGGCTTTAATTAGGTCTCCATCCAAGCGCCTCTCCATAGGCTCCCTGAGATATGCCATAGAGTCTATAGGCAGTGTAGTTTTCTTAGCCATATGGATCACTGCCGCGTCAATTTTAGGAACAGAGTTCCACAGACCGCAATCCACCGCAGAGTATGGATAAACCCTCGCAAACTTATATTTTAAGGTGGACTTCTTTTCAGGCTTATTCCATTCTTGAAGGATCATATCCCTGATTGACGTATGTACTGGGAAAGTAGGTCTGTTAGGCTTTAGGTCCTCAAAAAAACCTGTCAGCCTCCTTCAACTCAGATCTTTCTTCCGTGAGACTAAGTGTGTCTCTAATAAGGGTAATAAGTCTATCCACAGACCTGGAGTCCAGAGACCTGGAGGTATGAACAGCTTCCTCTTCACCATCATCCGATACCTCCCAGACATCAGGGTCCTCATCAGAGCTGGAAGACTGAGGTTCCGCTCTGTGTCTCTTACTCGGACCACTAGTACCCGTGGTGGCCCTAAAGCCCTCAGCAATAGCCTGAGAAATCCAGAGCTTAAGGTCATCTTGTGGAGAGCTCCTACTGGGGGCATCAGCGACTTCCAACAAGCATTCCCTGCAAAGGTTCCTTCCATTCGGAGCGGATGAAGAACAATTAATGCATTTATTTGTCTTATCCCGAGATTTTCTCGCTGGAGAGTCCAAATGAACGCTGGGGCTGGAAAAAAGCCATATATGACATATATTACAGGCTTAGTATGGCACTCTTTTAATAACCCCCCCCCAACACAAATAATAAATGACTCACCTATGTTTTCTAGAGAGGGATCTTGCAGAGGCAGAGGGAGAATCCATACTACAAACAAGAAGCAAATAAATTCAGGACCAAAATTCCCCAAAGGGAAAGAGGCAGGCTGACCAGCAAAACTTCAACAAAAGCCAGAACCAGCAATCCTACCTTAAGATCAGAGCACCACTATGCATCCAAGAAGCAGAAGCTGGCAAGACTGGAATTCCAAGCTTTTAGGTGAGAACCCAGTAAAAGAGCAGCATGAATAGCACGAAGGGGACTGTATTAATCCCCTTAAATAGGTCCGGGCGGCGAACAGCTGACCGCCCGGTTCGCGCATGCGCAGAGCGGTGGAACGCACGCTATGCGTTCCACTCGCTCGCGACCGGCAGAACACTTCCGGTTTCGCCGGAACTGGCCGCAAAACAGCCGGCTGGAACGCAAATGCGTTCCAGCCCCCAGCCCCAAGCGCAAAAAGGGGGCCCAAGGAGCAGGGAACCCTGGGGCATGTCCCAGGAACAGAGCAACATACCCCCAAGCCAGAGAACAGGGAAGGGGCAAGAAGGAGGCCACAAGAGGAAGGGAGAGAGCTTCATCATGGATTCCCCAAGAACTGCCTCAAGGTATGAGGGGGGGGTATATAACCCCAATTAGTAGGGGCAGGTAGAAAACAGGGGAATTTTTAAGGCTTAACCAACCCCACCATAGACCAGAGAATTTAGTGTCTCCCTCAAACACTTATTTCCCACGGTGCAGTTCAGTACTTACACTGAACCTGACCCAGTTAGTCCTGCTCATGCAGGCTGTTTACTGGGCCCTTCAGATGAAGAGAGGCTGAACTTCATTTGGAACGAACCCACGACAAACGCAGGAAGGTGAGCCATAAAATAAAATTGTAAAAAAGTCCTGTAGAACCTGCTAAGGACAGGAAAAAAGACTGAGGTGTAAGGGGAGGAGGGACTCTTTATACCTATCAGTCTGATTAATTAATCTAATTAATTCCTGTCCTGTGACTACTAAGGGAGGAGCTACCCATAAGTGATGCTGCCATGATTAGCCAGGAAATTATTTTTTGAAAGGTAGTGATCATATGAAGCCATTTATTATCACATAGTTGTTTGGCTCCTTCTTAATCATCAGTGATAACAGAAATCACCCAAATGACCCTGATCAAAAGTTTACATACCCTTGAATGTTTGGTCTTGTTACAGACACACAAGGTGACACACACAGGTTAAAATTGCAATTAAAGGTTAATTTCCCACGCCTGTGGCTTTTTAAATTGCAAATAGTGTCTGTGTGTAAATAGTCAATGAGTTTCTTGGGTCTCACGTGGATGCACTGAGCAGGCTAGATACTGAGTCATTGGGAGCAGAAAAGAACTGTCAAGCCCTGTGTAACAAGTTAATGGAACTTTATAAAGATGGAAAAGGCTATTAAAAGATATCCAAAGCTTTAAAACTGCCACTCGTCACTTATTAGGAAGTGGAAAATTTGGGGATCTCTTGATACCAAGCCAAGGTCAGGTAGACCAAGAAAGATTTCAGCCACAACTGCCAGAAGAATTGTTCGGGATACAAAGAAAAACCCACAGGTAAACTCAGGAGAAATACATGCTGCTCTGGAAAAAGACAGTGTTTCAAGGAGCACAATATGAGCTGCATGGTTGAGTTGTCAGAAAGAAGCCTTTACTGCACCAATGACACAAAAAAGCCCAGTTACAATATGACCGACAACATCTTGACATGCCTCACAGCTTCTGGCACACTGTAATTTGGAGTGAAGAGATCAAAAGAGAGCTTTATGGTCACAACCATAAGTGCTATGTTTGAAGAGGGGTCAACAAGGCCTACAGTGAAAAGAATACCATTCCCACTGTAAGGCATGGTGGTGGCTCACTGATGTTTTGGGTGTGTATGAGCTCTAGAGGCATGGGGAATCTTGTGAAAATTGATGGCAAGATGAATGCAGCTTGTTATCATAAAATACTAACAGACAATTTGCATTCTTCAGCATGAAGACTGCGCATGGGACGCTCTTGGACTTTCCAGCATGACAATGACCCTATGCACAAGGCCAAGTTGACCCTCCAGTGGTTTAAGGAGAAAAAGGTGAAAGTTCTGGAGTGGCCATCACAGTCTCCTCACCTTAATATCATTGAGCCACTCTGGGGAGATCTCAAACGTGCGGTTCATGCAAGACGACCGAAGACTTTTCATGAACTGGAGACATTTTGCCAAGACGAATGGGCAACTATACCACCTGCAAGAATTAGGGGTTTCATAGACAACTATTACAAAAGACTGCATGCTGTTATTGATGCTAAAGGGGACAATACACAGTATTAGGAACTAAGGGTATGCAGACTTTTGAAAAGGGGTCATTTAATTTTTACTTTGTTTTGTTTTATGAACGTGCCATTCTGTTATAACCTATAGTTCAATATGAATCCCATAAGAAATAAAAGAAAAGTGTTTTGCCTGCTAACTAATGTTTTCTTTATAATAAAAGTAAAGTTTAAAAAAAAATTAGGAATAAACACTGGCACATATTGAAACAACATGAAATACTTAAAAACATCCCTCCGGACAAACCTAAAATAATTTTTAGGGGGCACCTAACATCAAAACACATTTAAGATAAACTACACAAAAAATCTTACAAAAATATCTTCCAAAAAATCTACCAAAAATAATACCTTATCTAATTTAACAGTTTCTTTTAAATGTAAAAAATGTATTGTCTGTAAATTTTCAGAAACCATTACAAATAAAACTTCCCAGCTTACCTCCAAAACCACTAACAAAACATACAATATTAGAGATCTAATCAACTGTTCCACTAAAAACGTTATTCATTTCCTGGAATGCTCATGTGGACATCAGTACAGTATGTAGGTATTTAGGGTTTCAAAAACCACTCTCTATTTCAGACCTTATATATACACAACAATGATCCGTGTGCTTTAAAAGTTATCCAAACTAATCCAAAGATGTAAAAAACTTTATTGGGGAAAGTCGAAAATAATTGTGTTTTCAATCTTAAAACTTTAGAACCAAATGGTCTGAATAAATTCAATTTATATAATTTTTCTGTAATTTCCCCTTTTGTTTTTAATTTTTTTAAAATAGTTTTTCTACATACATAATTTGCCATGTAGTTATACTGCTCTTATTAGGCATCATTATCTTTATTTAAGATATATTTTATATTTTTATACAACTGTTTTTTAAATAGTGTTCCCCCCCTTTTTTATAGTTATTGCTCATCTATATTTATGTCTTTTATATTTTTTTATACATTTTTTGTTAGCTTCTACATAGACACAGTCATATTAATACTTATATAGTGCATACAAGATTTTTTACCCACTATTTAAAAAAAATCTTTTTATTTTCTTTCACCTTTTGATATATACATCTTTTAATATATATACATTTTTGTTTATTTTTATTTTACCAAACATTTAATCAATTAGGTCCTCCACTTTAGGGTCATTTTCCTTAATTGTTTTGTCTAGCTAGTTGCCAATGTATCCTGAACTGATACTATTGGAATTCTGGCCCATTTTTCCCCTTTTTAAAGATGGCCACGGCGGTGACATGATTTATGCAGATTTTTCAGTCTCTCTTTGACAATCGTGTGGCTTATTATCCACATCTTTCCTGGCTGCCATAGACACCAGGTGCCACCAAATACACTTAGTCCCTATTTTTTATTCTTCTCCATCAAGCCAGTTTCTTGAATCGACCATGACTCCATATTTTCCCAGTCACGTGACAAACTTATGTCATTATACTTGCTCCACCACAATTAATGCTTATTTTAATTTCCTTATGTATATCCCTAGTATATTAAGGGATTTCCTCCAGCTCCCTATAACACCCTTTTTATGCACTATTTTATTGTCCGGTTCGGTGATGAAACCTTCTCGATCTGCGTCATATGAACACAACAAATATACTTGTAACATTATTGCCTAGGCTCATTTGTGCATTCCACTTTTTTACTTTTTCATTGTATTTATTCTCTATTTGCGATTGTTGCAGACAGTACTCCTCCCCCCCCCTCCCCTGCCATTTATTACTAATTTTTTGTGTCTCAATTCTTGAGCACTTGTTTCATCTATTTGACTTATTTAAACCTACATGTATGTTTTTTTTTTCTGAGATTATACTCATTAAAGGTTATTTTTTAACTATTTACTTTAGGGTTGCTCCTATGTTTGTAGGTTAGGTTCGTGAGGTATGAAACAGTTTCTACCTCTTATCCTCCCTTCTTTTTTGCTATGACATTATTTCATGCAGTTACCAATATACTATATAAATATATTTCTATATGGATGTATACCATGTCAATATCTCAGAACACATTGTCAGGTGATTGCGGCCACAATCATGTGACCATGATGTCATCAAAACCGTCTTTCTTCAGTTTTGTGCTTCCCCTATATATATATATATATATATATATATATATATAAACAAAACCAAGAGGGCTGCACTCACCTGAACATGCATACATTACAGGGTGCTGCTGGGGCCAAAATATATAAAAAATACAGAATCCAGCGCACTCGCTTATTCACTAAACAATGCTTTCAAGATCTTAGAGATTGTAATAGTTTTATTTAAAAACACCTCACCTAGGCAAAAAATAATGGGGGTTTAGTTACATTATATGATCATATATTGCATAAGCCTGCCACAACGTCAATGTACCCCATTCTTGGCAGGTCCTACTCTCATAAGGGCAAGCATTAGGCTGCTAGAGTAGGACCTGCCAAGAATGGGGTACATTGACGTTGTGGCAGGCTTATGCAATATATGATCATATAATGTAACTAAACCCCCATTATTTTTTGCCTAGGTGAGGTGTTTTTAAATAAAACGATTACAATCTCTAAGATCTTGAAAGCATTGTTTAGTGAATAAGCGAGTGCGCTGGATTCTGTATTTTTTATATATTTTGGCCCCAGCAGCACCCTGTAATGTATGCATGTTCAGGTGAGTGCAGCCCTCTTGGTTTTGTTTGTATATTTGGGAGTCCAGGCCAGCTCCTTGGTTTTGCACCCCTCCCTGTCACAGGACCCTATTTAGCCTTGACTTGCAGAGAGTCCCAGTAAGGAAGTATTTCCCAAGTAAGTGGATTAATCTCATAAGGGCAAGCATTAGGCTGCTAGAGTAGGACCTGCCAAGAATGGGGTACATTGACGTTGTGGCAGGCTTATGCAATATATGATCATATAATGTAACCAAACCCCCATTATTTTTTGCCTAGGTGAGGTGTTTTTAAATAAAACTATTACAATCTCTAAGATCTTGAAAGCATTGTTTAGTGAATAAGCGAGTGCGCTGGATTCTGTATTTTTATATATATATATATATATATATATATATATATATACATTATATATATATATATATATGTGTGTATGTCAGTCATATTTCTTGCTACTTGAAAAAATCCTTTATATGTGAAACGCGTTGTTGGATTATTTTATTGATTTTTTTTTTTTTGTGTATTTACCAATAAAGCATTGAGGTTCCTCCAACTCTGAATCTGCTTGTCTATATGGTCATTTTTTATTTAATATTATTATATATATATTTTTTATCCATTGTTCCTGGCACTACTTTAAGCACACATCTCTGCAATACACCCACACATAAAAACTGAGCAAACCCATTGCTCTAGAAATTGTGAGTCCATTTTCAAGTTTCTCCACACCTAATATATACTGTTTCATATATATATATATATATATATATATATATATATACACACATTAGAAGAAAATGTGGTTTACATTTTACAACTTATTGTATCTGCTTTTAACTTTTTATTTAATAAAATTTTTACCAATTTTTTTTTTTTTTTAATTGGCACAGCCTATTTTTTGCACTAAAAAAAAGAATAGTCCAGAATGGTTGCCTAAGTAGCAAAATTCCTTTCAGATGCCCAAAACTGGGACATACAGTATTAATGTTAACTATTTTAAAGCAAGTTTCTATGTTAAATTGCCACCATAACTGATGTGACTATATGCCGTATACAATTGCTAATAAAGATTTATTTAAAAAAATTTAAAAAAAACGCTTTTTTGCGCATGCTCAGTTCAAAAACACTGACATCACTCATTCAACTATGGTAAAAAAAAATGAGTCAGTGGGCGGGACTACTGAAGCCGACTCAACGTCACTAAGCTTGGACGTGATTGGCATTCATCTACAGCTTGTCCTCCATGTGTTGGTGGGGGGAAGAGGCGTGGTTACAGCACAGTAGGGGGTTTAACACTTTGCTGTCCGAGCGCAGTACGGTGAAGGCGCGCCCAGTGCCGACCCAGCCCGTTGTGAGGCGCGCCTTCCTGCGAAAACACGCTCGAACCACGGTCACGCGCTGCAAGAAGGCATTAAAAGTGGGCGGGGCAAGCAACGGTAGAGTGGGCGTGTCCACCCAAGTGCTGGTCGCGGCAGCAGAGTGGGCGGAGCTCCAGTGTGAGCGGGGCGGGGTCAGGCGCGCTGCGCTGTCTAGGAGTCGGGTGAGCTGGGAGCTGCTAACGGTCTGAAGCCGGAAAACGGGCTGGGTCTGTCCAGGGCGGCCCGCTGACTGCTCGGCTCTTCCTTCCATGCCAGCTGGCCC